ATGTGTTATAAATGAAAAAAAATATTTCTATACATAATTTTTAATAAGTAATTTCATTTAAACTAAGTAATTTTCTTTAATTATCATTTTTTAACAAAAAAAATTATTAAATTAAATGTTAATATTTGTTATTTTTGAGAAAGTCAAATCTTAAATCTATATGCATTTTATTTATTGTTCAATAAACAACGGAGCCATCACTACACCACGTGGAGAAATTGGTTTCAATTATCATTGATAAAATATAAAAACATAAAAAGTATTCTCCATAAACAAGTTGTACACATCCATTCCACACGTCTTTCTTTTGCGGCCAAGGTGGGTCATTACCCACTTCCGGTTAACACGATGAGACATGACTTGCACGCGATGGCAATTTTTCCAAGGGGATTATTTAATGAAAATTTCTTTTGATTGCCCGCGATGACTAACCCTAACGAATGGATGTATGCTTTTTCCAAGGGACTATTTAGGGGAGTATTTTTTTTCATTAGTATATATAAAATTAAAAACAAGGCCTAAACCTTTCTATCCTATAATGTAAACATGAAATGACAATTCTACCCTCATGTTTATCCAATTTCAAAGATATTTTGTTAAAAAAAAATCATAAAATTTACCTCTTTCTTTGGTAAATAAATCACAATTTCACTTGTTAGTTGCTGTAATACCATGAATGATTTTGGACAGCTAAGTCACATGCTTTATGGCATTAAAGCCCCTTCCCCAAACGCATAAGGATACAAATCCTCGACTTAATATGTTTCTAGGTTGGAAAATGATTTAAACACCCTCCGGTTCAACATATTTTTTCGACACACTTCGGTTCAGTGATTAAAAATATAATATAAATATGATTAATTTAATCGATTCATGTATCCTATGTGTATGATTGCATCATTAAACTTGTCTATTTTTAATTTTAAATAAAAAATAATAATTTTTTAATAAATATATTACATAATACGTTGAACCGGATAATGCACAAATCATTGTACTTCTAGTTTTCTTCTAGTTTGGAAAATATTCTCTGCACGACAGAATATATGGTGCTGCAATGTTGCAGCAACAGATCCATGGTGTTCGGCTTTTATTCACTTCAAAAAAAAATCTACGCTATACGTTGCATGCATTTTTATTTTACATTCTTTCCCTGGTCCATCTAATAGTTATGCCGGTAAGCCTAGATATTTTCCTTTTTTACCAGAAGTGTATTAATAGGCTCTCTGCACTGGAGATAAACATTGAAAAGGCTCTTTTGTAGCATATGCTATGTCTGAAAAAGTTAATGCCCTTTCTTTATTGCTTGTCTAACATCTTCTATGCTATCAAGGTTGATTGAAGCAATTGG